TTTTAAGTTTAATCAAATTTTACATTATGAGTAATTTTAGCTTAAATGAAACTGATTCAAATCAGCTTGTACAATTTAAAGAATTAAGTTGAAACATGATAGAATTTTTTTTGGTATTACGATGGATAAGAAAATAACAGGTAACAGGGTTATTTCTTTGGATTCCAGTCAATTTTCAATTACAAATGAAAGATGCTCTTCAGAATAAAGAGCAGATATTCTGGTTCTTCAAACAATAAGCAGGATATTACAATAAGCTATTATTTGGGTTTCAGCACATATTGGAATCAAAGGAAATGAACATGCAGACAAATAAGCATTGAACATTATAAAAATAAAAACAGCTTGTCCTCTGGAATCTGATTTTGCATTTAAATTGATGCAAAGCAATGCATGTTATAATCAAATTTGAGTTTTGATTACAAAAGTGTTCATGGAACATGATCTTTTCATTAAAAAAACGCCATTTAAACCCATATAATGTATTTTTTGCTATTGCTAAAAATATACCTCTGAGATTGCTTGAAGCATGTCATCACTAGCTGAAGCGTATGCTTTTAATGAAATAAATTACCTAGAAACAACAAAATATTTCTTAAATGAATAACCTATATGAGTATTTCTTTTATCATTCCTGAGGGTTTTTGACTGCCCATTTTCACAAAACCTGAGAAATTATTTACATACATATGTTTTATAATTGGCTCAAAAACACACTGGACAAACACAGAATCCTATTGTCAAAATGAAATCGAAATGTATTTTTATTTGTATAAATTAATTCATTTTCTTTTCGGCCTATCCCTTTGTTAATCAGGGGACGCCACAGCGGAATTAACCAGCAACTTATCCAGCACATTTTATGCAGTGGATCTCCTTCCAGCTGCAACCCATCACTGGGAAACAGCCATACTCACTCATTCATACACATACACTACGGACAATTAGCTTACCCAATTCACCTGTAGCACAAGTCTTTGGACTTGTGGGAGAAACTGGAGCAACCGGAAGAAACCCACGCCAACACGGGGAAAACATGCAAACTCCACCTAGAAACGCCAACTGACCCAGCCGAGGCTCGAACCAGCGACCTTCTTGCTGTGAAGTGATTGTGCAACCCAATGCACCACCGCGTTGCACTATATGTAGTGCTTTTTATAAACTGTTAATTGTCATGTCATTTTCTGTGCACAATTATTTTGTAAAAATTAAGTGGACCTCAGAATCTTTAATAAAACATCTTAACCGTCTTTTCCCCCTGGAAATGACTTTTCCCTTACTTCTGCTCGAATGGCCTTTCAGGCAGGGCTATCAGGACGTGTGCCGTTTCTGCCCTGCCTTCATCCATTTGTCAATCTTCTTTTCTTTTTCTTCTTTGTTTTCAGCACCCATCCTCTAGCGGTCAAATCGGTTCCCAAAGAATGAAATCATGTAGCTACTGGCCTATTTTTTCTAATTTCAGGACTGCTTCAAGTGGATGTATGTCACAATAGAGGACAAAAGGACAATCTTAACTTGAAACGGAAGTTTCTAACTGAAACTACGTATTGAAAAGGTAACAGATGAATAGTAAAATAATGCGATAAACTAAGGCCGTACTCACACTAGGACAGTTGCCTCGAACTGGGCCAAAGCACGCTTGTCCCCCCTACTGTCTCCCCCGACGGCCAGCACTCACTTTACAATCGAGCCTGGGCATGCTAACGTCATCGATGATGCGCTGGTTGTGAAAAGCGCTCTCACTCATCAAAAAGGGAATTTCTTCAGTTATATCGTTTGATGCGGTGACACGCAGTCAGATATTTTGCTGAACAGATCCGCCACTTTTTACACTCATAAACAACCGTAAAGTACTCGTGCTGCAGGAATTAGGAGGTTTGCTGAAGGTGCGCAGCTGTTGTGCAGTGATGGGTTTGCATCTTTAATAAACTACGACAGTTGGCGTTCATTTAACAGTGAGAATGATTAATAAATCCATATGAAACAGTCCCTTAATAGTCACGTCTTGCTTTCAGTTTCGGGCTTTTGCGCGTTTTGCACTCACACAAAGCCCAACTGAACCGCGACACACCTCTTCCAACTGGGCCAGGGCTGGCCAAGTGTACCATGCCTGACCCCGATTCATGGCACTTACACTTCTCAGACGATCCAGGAAACGGGCCTGAACACGGTACGGATAGCATGGTGTGAGAAGGCCCTAATGGTAAGACAACATAGCACATCGCCCATGTTTTAGTTTTACTTAATTTAGTTCAAATTAATTCTTACTTATGTCAGTCTATTTTCAGATGGCCAAAAATAAACTACTACTAGAGCTTAGTGTTTAACAGCAGATGGCGCTTTATGCAAATTTATACCTGTACACTTCAAAGCTGACAAAGAAGTGCTTGTGTGTCCAGCCTTTTAATGTAATAAGATTTATGTAAACACAGCTTACAATAAACACTCTTGTAATTAATTAAACCTTTTCTAATTTTATAAATAAAGAAGGTGCAAACAGGGTATCCTTTGGCCATTTGTAACGCATACAGCACCCTCTGCTGTTAGAAACAATCAGAATTCATTCAAGCAGTGCATTTTGAAAGTCTCAGACAGTTTTTCACCACAAGTATTACCCCCATCCAATGCCGGTTAGTGGTATTGCAGCAAAGTTGAATCAATAAAATCCCAGAGTGGTCAGTACATGCTGAGGCACACAGTAGCCTATGCAGAAGTCGCCAACTTGTCATGTACAGACTTCCAAACTTTGTGTTGTCTCCAGATTATCTCAAGAATGGTTTGTTTCCCTATATCAAACAAGACGGAACAGCTGTTACAATTGATCTAACGTCTTAGCATTGTTTACATCAGTGAAAGGCAGTAAAGTTCCATTCCAGGGGGTAACAATTACATTTTTTACTGAGGCCGGAAGAGGAGTGGGAAGACATGAGCATTCCTGGCACTGTTCTCAACAGCAGCAGACCACAAAGCAGTCAGCGCTGGCTTGGCTTGATGAATAATATGCAAAAGCTGTCTGTTTTAGATGTCTGACTTGATCTGTAAACTGCTGTCATGAGTTTAGTTCTTGTTATTCTCTCTCTCTCTCTCTCTCTCTCTCTCTCTCTCTCTCTCACACACACACACACAAGCACGCACACACACACAAACGCACACACTCACTAATGCATGCACTCTCAAAAATAAAGGTATAAAAGCCGTGACTTGAACTTTAGGTAATATGCACCTTTAAAGTACCAATAAAAACCCCTTAAGTACAAACATGTTTTGAAAAGACATACAGTTAAAGTCAGAGTTATTAGCTCCACTGAATTATTAGCCCCCTATTTATTTCCCCTCAATTTCTGTTTAGAGAAAAAAAAAATTTCAACACATTTCTAAACATAAAAGTTTTAGTAGCTCATTTCTAATCATTTATTTTGTCTTTGTCAGGATGACAGTAAATAATATTTTACTAGATATTTTTCAAGACACTTCTATACAGCTTAAAAAGACATTTATGGGTTTAACTAGGTTAATTAAATTAACTAGGCAGTGTAGGGTAATTAGGCAAATTATTGTATAACGATGGTTTATTCTGTAGACTTAAAAAATATAGCTTAAAGGGGCTAATAATTTTCACCTTAAAATGTTTTTTAAAAGGCACCTACTTTACCGCTTTTTTAAAGATTTAATATTAATATTATGATTCTTCTGAGTGTGCCAGTTTAGGTTCAGTTCAAAACACAAATCAGGTTTTTTTATTATAATGTGTTAAAAAGTGTCATTTTGGGGGTATGTACACAGGTTGCTGTTTTATGAGTGTGTTGCTTCACATGAAAATTAGTTTTGACTTCCCGCCCAACGTAACAAGGGGGCGGAGCCAAGAGCTCCCCCACTTTGTGTTTAGCAACAGAGAGAAGCAACTTGACAGAGAGAAGCAACATGAGTGAGAGGACCAGCATTCAGCCGTACATGTATGACTCGGACACAGACCAAGCAGAGTACAAAATCCTTTGTGTCTTTGTATAGTTTTACAGCCAACTGTGTCCGTTTAATGTTCCGAGCTTGTACACCGAGACTAATAACCATGTGCGTCACCGAGAGGCACTTCTGGTGTGCGACCTGCAGGCAAGTTCGTTATTTTATTTCCAGTGGAAGGACGCATACGTGAGGCAACGCACTCACAATTTCTAGCTGCACCTAGATAAGATCACAGTGAGTTTCTTTGAACACGAGAAATGCAAATGGCTGAAGTTTAAGGTAGACGCAATGAAAAGTACGGATGTTTGCACCTAAAGTTACAAACAATGGCTCTGATGAGAGCGATCATGTGGTGATTGATGATCTTGTGTTGAGCCCAATGAGCCTTATATCTTAAAATAGAGGAAGGGTGTTCCTTTGGTGAAATCACTTTGACTCACATGCTGAAAATGGCGGACGTGAAACAACAAACTGAGCATATGGTAATGCGCGGCTGTCAATCAATATTGGTGGGTTGGGGGACTCCTACAACAAGTTGCGGTTGATCTAAAAACCGCTATGATTGGTCCACCCTTTTTATGTTGTTAAATTGGATAAAGGACTGGGTGTGTTTACCCCAATATGACGGTCTATACACTATAACTAGACATACGTCTGTCCTTGAAAAGATTTTTCACCCTAGGTGCGCTTAAAATTTTTTAAAACTACTTTTATTTTCTTCAGACGAAAAAATATTATCAGACATACTGTGAAAATGTCCTTGCCCTGTTAAACATCATTTGGGAAATGTTTAAAAAGTAAAAGAAATTCAAAGGGGGCTAATAATTTTGACCAACTGTACGCCTGTAATTTTAGAAAGAGTATTTTGACTATGGACAGTAGTTATTGTGTTTGCAGTGTCTGTTTAGAGAATGTCTTTTATGTAAACAAGCATAGTTTTAATACATTCATAAATAATATTTAATACATTCAATTATCACTTTCATGTGTATTCAAACTTCAGTTATTGATATTTACCAATGAGAACACTACAGACAATATTCAAAACATTAAAAATCTTTATTCATTTTTTTCTTTACAGACAAATATATTCTGTAAGGACACTTATTTTTTTCCTGTGAAAAACTCATTGCAAAGCATTGTGATACAGGCAATCAATGTGATGTACTCCTGAAAGTCCACAGAACCATCAGCATTTGCATCCAGATCCTTGAATATCTTGTCCAAAGCTGCCTTGTCTGTAGTTTTCTTTAACAAACACAACACACAAAACGTGTCATTAAAACATTGATGTGCTGATACATGCGTCTTAGCTAATATTATATTTATTATGGGAAGTAGTACTAAAGACTAAGCTTTTTTTTTTATATAACTAATTATAATGTATAAGAAAAAAATTGAAATTAAGCATATTAAATAATGTCATAATGACATGAGAAATGATTTTTTTAGCTGGTCAGTAGCCTATATGATAAAAATTGTGCAGTCTCTCACCCCAAAGATGTCGCCCAACTCTGCAGAGAGCAGTTCCTTCAGCTCGCCTTTGGACAGGGTCAATTTGTCGCCCTCCTTTCCAGAGTATTTGTGGAAGGTTGCAATGAGCATAGCCATTGCTTTCTGGGTATCTGCAAAATTTGTGTGAAACAAAATGAGTTAGTTATAATTAACAATAATCAAACAATGATCATTGTTTGCAACATCCAATATATTATAAATTGTAGAAATGTTAAAGGTGCATATATATATATATATATATATATATATATATATATATATATATATATATATATATATATATATATGTGTGTGTGTGTGTGTGTGTGTGTGTGTGTGTGTGTGTGTGTGTGTGTGTGTGTGTGTGTGTGAAATGCCACTCCCTGCAACTGCTTTAAACACGGAAGAAGTTAGAGCAAGAGATGGAAGAAGGAGAGATTGCGTGGACCGTAATTGTCGGAAGAGTGGGAGTTTTCAGAAAAGGAGGGATGAAAACTACTGTTGCAAGTACGAAAAAAAAAAACAGTTACAGCCATCACAAAGAACATACCCTCTAATTAAAGCAAAAGAGAGAGACGGAAACAGAAATCTACTGGACTTTGCAATTTTTCATTTGATACAACACCATTGTCTCCTCTTCATTCTCAACACACATACTATTGGACTATTCTAATAATCAGTTAATGCACATAAATAAACTAGAATCAGAAAGTGAAAAAAGCAAGCATGCCAGTAATCTAAATTAAACTCTTACAGTTCTGCAATAGTTCTGCAGTGTGATGCATTAGCTCAATCTAAACAGACAGAAAAACAATTTTAGAACAAAAAATTGGCCTCTTACCTGACGTAGCCATGGTGGTTCTGGTGGTCACGATGGGCAACAAGTGAAAGGAAAAGAGAGCAAGCGAGTGAAGACTGACCAAAGAGGCTGGGTGTTTTAAACCATGAAAAGCTCCACCCCTAAGTTCACCCCCACGCTCCCTGCCCTTAGCACACAAACACACCTACATTAACATCCCTCTCTTCCATTATCCATCCCAGCTAACCATAGAATCTTGTGTTTACTTAATTATCAAGTTTACAAAAAAAAAAAAAAAGGAGGAGGCAGGTGGGTTGCCATCTTTTGTCCTTATTAAGCCTCTAACTCAACTGGTTAAGCCAGCTTCATAACCGAACTACCAGCAACAAAAACCTTATCCTTCGGCCAAATACATTATCAGTGACTACTGTTAATGTGTTTCTGGGGACCATTTTAGTAAAACTGAAAAACTGAAATAATTCTATATAAGTTTACATATGATTTTAATAAGTTTATATGGTTTTCAAATGACAAAAGAGTCATTTACACATGTAAAATATGTTTTCAGTCTTGTCATGAGTGAATACTTTATAAACAAAAGCAAAAATGGTGGACTAATGGTATGTGTGCGAGCATGTGGTGTTTCTTTGCTAAGTGACATTACTTTGCATTCATAATAGATCATTTTTAGAATTTCTGTTTTAACAACACTGTTGTATAAATACACACTGGAATGCTCAAATACTCAAAGGAAAAACGTTTCAGTTTTTAGTACATCATTGTATTTCCTTAATACTACAAATAGCAAATTTCATAATAGTTATGTAAAAACTCATGTAGTGAAAAATTGTTTTACGATTTAATTTGAATCCAAAAAAGTATGACTGATAGCCTGTTGGCTAACTAGCGATTGCTCAGATTAGTTTTTAAAAAGCCTCTATTTTACATTAGAAATGTCATATTTTGGTTTCGAGGGTCTCCAACAACAGGCTGATATGCATGAAAGGTCAAAAAACACTTACATTGTCTTATAATATGCATTTTTTTAACCTAATTATCTCAACAGCTCCCATTAGTTAAGTGATTCATTTGTTCCCAAACCCCTCCTTTGCATGAGGCTAATCTGCTGTGATTGGTTCAATGACCCAGTCTGTTGTGATTGGTTGACTGGGTTCAACGCAAGAAAGAGAGAAACGCCTACCAGGGCTAGGAAGTAGCCTAGAGTATGTAAGAGCCCACTGCAGGAATGCAATAAAGCAATGTAGTTAAACACCAGCATATTACTCTACCCTTAACCACAACCACAACTAATAACAACACACATTCAGTATTAATCCACACAGTGGCAAATGTTGAACTATTTAAAAAATTGATCACGCCGCATGTGTGAGGAACAGCTGATGGTGACCATAGCAAAGGCAAACGACAGAGGATCGCCAGTTCAGAAACACATTTAAATTGGTAAGGGAAGAAGCACGCGTCACATATTTTAATGTGGTTTTGAATGCGACATGTAAATAGCTCCATAAAGTTTTAACCTGAAAGATAGAGTACGAGCACTGATCTATAATAGATAGGCGATTACAAGCCACGCAGAGTGATAAGTTATAACACACAAATAAACATTTTTTTTGCAAACTACACAAAACGAGGCAACAGTTTTCCTTACACTTGTTACATGTTATGATCCGGAGGAAGAAGAAACTGGTCGATATGAACTATAACAGTTACTGACAAAGTCCCTGTCAAAGTCTGAGAAAGTGCCATACATAATAGTCTCTGCTGCTCCTTCCTTTAGTTGCAAATGGTCGACGAGTAGCGGGTTGCAGAGTAGGTTATTGTATCAAAAATCTGAGAAATGACAGGAAAAAACACAGCACTAGGTTTTGTATACTATGGTATTGTTGTGAAAATGAACTTTAACCCTTTATTCCCCACAGCTGAATCTTCATCTGTCAATAATCGTCATCTTCTCTTCCGTGATCCCCCGTGCTCTAGGCACGTTCACGTTATTAAACCTCTGCTGGATGGTTTCATTCACTTAGTGCTGTGTTACACATTGCATGGAATCTCTTTTTTAAAAACCTGTAATAGGGGATTTTTAAGACCAAGTATTAACTATTTTGTGGCCAATTCTTCACTTATCTACAGAGTTCAAATTTCAACCATTATTAGCTCATGAAACAATCAGACTGGACTGACTTTGTTAATCAAAAAAAGATGCCGTGGGTGTACAGCCCTAAGTTGTGTTGCATTCATAATAGAGCTGCTCAAGCCGTTACTAAGAGCACTAGGTAATTGTAGACTATATTTTGCTAAAAGGCAATAATACAAAAGCCACTGTATGTTTGCTGATTGTAGTCATGCATGATTTACAGCTTATCTGCACTAAATGGAGTGGAAGATCAACAAAACGCTGTGCCCGAGGGCCTTTGATGCATATACCTGATACTTTTTGAGAACCACATTTTAACACATTGTATATTGTAAAATTCAGTTGACAAGAAAATATAAGATGAAGGAGGCGGCACAATGGCTCAGTGGTTAGCACTGTTGCCTCACAGCAAGAAGGTTGCTGGTTCAAGTCCCGGCTGGACCAGTTGGCATTTCTATGTGGAGTTTGCATGTTCTCCTCATGTTCGTGTTGGTTTCCTCCAGGTTCTTTGGTTTCCCCCACAGTCCAAAGACATGCTGTATAAGTGGGTGTGTGTGTGTGTTTCCCAATACTGGGTTGTGGCTTAAAAGGCATCCACTTTGTAAAACATAAGCTGCAATAGTTGGTGGTTCATTCCACTGTGACGTCCTCTGAAATAAAGATTGACAAAAAATGAATGAATGAAAATAAGATTAAGATTTTAAGGTAACATAAGATTCAAAGTATATTTAACAATATTTTCATAGTTTACTCATGCTCATTTTGTATGCTACAAAAACTGTATTTTATTCTCTCGGTGGAGCACACATAAGCTTTTTAGCATTTTCATTTTTTTTCATAAGATACAATTAACAAAAACAATGGAAAAATTTTAAAGCAATTGTCAAAATAGGTGCACTATTCCTTATAGATAAAGATATCCACACTTACAGTATAGGGTACTGCTTAAACATGTTGAACAAGAGAAAGAGAGACAGATTTCCATCTCTTTTTTCACAAACTAATCGATTTACCTGATGATGTGTTGGTTGTAGTATTTATTATTTGCAACATACTGCTGCCAAAGTGAATAAAGAAAATAAGGAAAGAAAATAAGGGTGGGGCAGTTTTTATAACCAGCCGAGTGAATGAACATGTCAGAAACATTCAGTACTAGAACTTCAGGGGTAGACACAGAGTTAAAGACAGAGCTGGAAATGGGAGAAGTCAGGGAGGGAGAAGGGGGGAAAGAAGGCGGAGAAAATGACTGGCCTCATTTAACCTAGCCTTTATGTAATACAGTGATGGTGACTCATTTGTGTAGAATTTCAGCTTTTTTTGTCAGTTGTTCTTCGCATTTAACTTTTTCACTTTTCTACACTTTGGTTTTATATAAAGGTTATCAAAAACTGACAATTCCATCAAAACTTACAAACCTTTCTTTTAATATAAAATTTTCCATTCGGCTGATTTGGGTGCAAAAACTGTCCCTTTAAATAAGCGAGAAACAGACACACATGCAAACCTATGTGTTCTTACAATGGGAACATTGATACAGCAGCAGTGAAAAGACAAACAAGAGCGCATGATTAAATCTCATAGACTTTGTGGCCAGTTTCCTGATTAGTCACCACCCAAAACCATCTCTGAGTATGTGGGACCTCCCGAGCGCCATTTTGATCATAAGCGTTGGTTAAGATCTGCTTTAGATGCAAAAGTATGTGTTTCTCAGGGTTAAGTCAGTAGATTGGAGCATGAGAAGAGAGATGGCAACTTGGCTCACTTTATTGGCAGAAATGTTACTGATCTTTTTTGTGAAATTAGATGTTCATACACAACATGAGAAGATGTGGAAACATTAATTTGATTAGACTCATACTCATTTGCAGAATATTTAAAGCTGCCTGCAATAAAAAGGCAAACCAGAACAAGTTGGAAACAGTCATGCCAGGTTCAGTGTTGTGTACATTTTCATAGAAACTATACTAACAATGTTCGTTTGCGTTTTTGGAAACCTTGCATTGACTGCATAGACTAAACACACAACATGCATGTTCGCACTGATCATCGTTGTAAGAATTACACACTTTTGTAGTTTACAAGAACACAATAAATTGCATTTTGAAAAGTTTCCAAAACAAGTTTGTATTTTAGGACCTTTAGAAAAGTTCCATTTAGTATGAATAGAATTCAGATGTACTGCACTTGTGATGTTTTTGTTGTAACATGACATACCAGCTTCAGTTGCACTGCTTCATTTTAAATTTATAAATTCTCTCTTTCAACCTCAGTTAGATGTCTATTCGAATAATATGAATTTGAAAGTTCTAGTCAGTTTTTTTTTTCTCGTAATAATGGAAGTTTACACTAGTTGACAAAAGTCTTGTCGACGATTCCAGTTGTAAGAGCAACAAATTATAATTTGACTTTTAGTAGATCATTTGGGAAAGTGGCAGAAGGTAATTTTTTTTTAATTTTTTTTATGAATCATCTGTTGTATTGCCTCCAGATCATCACAAATACTGCAGAAGACCTACTGGAACCAGCATGAACCCAAGATTCTCAGAGAAATCAGTCAAGTTTTGTAAAGGAATAAACATGTTTTGGGGTTGCATTCAGTATGGGGCATGCAAGAAATCTCAGAGTGGATGGCAACATCAACAGCCTGAGGTATCAAGACATTTGTGCTGCCCATTAAATTACAAACCACAGTTGATGGCAAATTCTTCAGCAGGATAGCGCTCCTTCTCATACTTCAGCCTCCACATCAAAGTTCCTGAAAGCAAAGAAAGTCAAGGTGCTCCAGGATTGGCCTGCCCAGTCACCAGACATGAACATTATTAAGCATGTCTAGGGTAAGATGTAGAAGGAGGCATTGAAAGCTGAATCCAAAATATCTTGATGAACTCTAAAAGTCCTGCAAGATTATTATTATTATTATTATTTTTTTTTTTTTGCCATTCCAGATGACAGATGAGTCATTGCA